CAGCTTCAAACTTCTGGGATCAAGCTATCCTCCCACTTGGCCTCTGGAGTAGCTGGGACCACAAGTCCTCACCACCATGCCTGGCTGCTGGTCCAGTGCCTACTCTGCAGCCAGACTTCTCCTTCTGTCCAGTCCTGCTTCCCACTTTCTTTCCCAGGAGTATTCATACCAAGTGCACTCACTCATAAGCTTCCCACACTCTAGTTTTCACCTTAGAATTGGCTTCTGTGGGCCGGGTGCGGTGGCTCAAGCCTGTAATCCCAGCACTTTGGGAGGCCGAGGCGGGTGGATCACGAGGTCGAGAGATCGAGACCATCCTGGTCAACATGGTGAAACCCCGTCTCTACTAAAAATACAAAAAATTAGCTGGGCATGGTGGCACGTGCCTGTAATCCCAGCTACTCAGGAGGCTGAGGCAGGAGAATTGCCTGAACCCAGGAGGAAGAGGTTGTGGTGAGCCGAGATCGCGCCATTGCACTCCAGCCTGGGTAACAAGAGCGAAACTCTGTCTCAAAAAAAAAAAAAAAAAAAAAAAAAAGAATTGGCTTCTGTGGAAACTCTGTGATCAAGGGGCAAGCTTTACCAGACAAAAACAACCCCAAAGATGAAATTTTTTTTTTTTTAAATAAACTCTTGAACCGTCTCCCAGGGTGGGGTGCAGTGGTGCGAACTCCACTTACTACAACCTCTGCCTCCTGGGTTCAAGCTATTCTCCTGCCTCAGCCTCCTGAGTAGCTGGGATTACAGGCATGCACCACCTCACCCAGCTAATGTTTTTGTATTTTGGGTAGAGACCGGGTTTCACCACGTTAGTCAGGCTGGTTGCAAACTCCTGACCTCAAACGATCTGCCCACCTTGGCCTCCCAAAGTGCTGGGATTACAGGCATGAGCCACTGTGCCTGGCCTGTCTGTTTTTTGAGACGAAGTCTAGCTCTGTCACCCAGGTTGAAGTGCCATGGCATAATCTCAGCTCACAGCAACCTCCACTACCTGTGTTCAGATGATTCTCCTGCCTCAGCCTGAGTAGCTAGAATTATAGGCATGCACCACCATGCCTGGCTAATTTTTGTATTTTTAGTACAAACAGGGTTTCACCATGTTGGCCAGGCTGGACTCAAACTGATGACCTCGGCCAGGCGCAGTGGCTGGCACCTGTAATCCCAGCACTTCGGGAGGCTGAGACGGGCAGATCACCTGACTTCAGGAGTTCAAGACCAGTTTAGCCAACATGGTGAAACCTCATTTCTATTAAAAATACAAAAAATGGCCAGGCTTGCTGGCTCACAACTGTAATCCTAGTACTTTGGGAGGCTAAGGCAGGTGGATTGAGCTCAGGAGTTCGAGACTAGCCTGGGCAACACAGTGAAACCCCATCTCTACTAAAACACAAAAAATTAGCCGGGCATGGCAGTGTGCACCTATAATCCCAGCTACTCGGGAGTCTGAGACAGCAGAATCACTTGAACCTGGGAGGCAGATGTTGCAGGTTGCAGTGTGCTGAGATCGCCCCATTGCACTCCAGCCTGGGTGACAGAGCAAGACTATATCTAAAAAAAAAAAAAAAATAGCTGGGTGTGGTGGTGGGCACCTATAATTCCAGCTACTTTGGAGACGGAGGCAGGAAAATTGCTTGAACCAGGGAGATGGAAACACACACACATAAAGAAAAATTAGCTGAGTGTGGTGGTGCCCACCTGTGGTACCAGCTAATCAGGAGGCTGAGGTGGGAGGATCACTTGAGTCCAGGAAGTCAAGGCTGCAGTGAGCCATGATTGTGCCACCACTGCACTCTAGTCTGGGCAACAGAATGAGATCCTGCCTTTAAAAAAAAAAAAAAGGACCGGGCGCAGTGGCTCAAGCCTGTAATCCCAGCACTTTGAGAGGCCGAGGCTGGTGGATCACAAGGTCGAGAGATCAAGACCAACCTGGTCAACATGGTGAAACCCCGTCTCTACTAAAAATACTAAAAACTAGCTGGGCGTGGTGGCGCGTGCCTGTAATCCCAGCTACTCAGGAGGCTGAGGCAGGAGAATTGCCTGAACCCAGGAGGCGGAGGTTGCAGTGAGCCAAGATCGCGCCATTGCACTCCAGCCTGGGTAACAAGAGCGAAACTCCGTCTCAAAAAAAAAGAAAAAAAGAAAAAAAAAAAAGCAGTATATTTTTACAGTTTTTTCTTTTCTTTTCTTTTCTTTTCTTTTTTTGAGATGGATTCTCACTCTGTCACCCAGGCTGGAGTCCAGTGGCACAATATCAGCTCACTGCAACCTCCGCCTCCCGGATTCAAGGGATTCTCCTACCTCAGCCTCCTGAGGAGCTGTGACTACAGGCGTGCACCACTACACTCAGCTAATTTTTGTATTTTTCTAGTAGAGACAGGATTTCACCATATTGATCAGGCTGGTCTCAAACTCCTGACCCCGTGATCCACCTGCCTCATCCCCCCAAAGTTCTGGGAGCTTACAGACGTGAGCCACTGGGCCTGCCATTTTCTTTTTATTCTTTTCATTTTTTTTCCACACACATTCTGTTTATGTATGATCTATCAGTTCCTAAGAGAGCTATGTAGATATTTTCAATTTCAGTAGTGTTTCCTTTTCTTTCTTTCTTTTTTTTTTTTTTTTTTTTGGAAACAAAGTCTCACTCTGTCACCCAGGGTGGAGTGCAGTGTCAGGTTCACTGAAGCCTCTGCCTCCCCAGCTCAAGCTGTCCTCCCAGCCTCAGCCTCCTGAGTAACAGGAACCACAGGCCCACACCACCATGCCAGGCTAATTTTTTGTATTTTTGGTGGAGACGGGGTTTCACCATGTTGCCCAGGCTAAAAAAGAATTTTTGCCAGGTGTGGCGGCTCATGCCTGTAATCCCAGCATTTTGGAAGGCCGAGGCGGGTGGATCACGAGGTCAGGAGTTCTAGACCAGCCTGACCAACATGGTAAAACCCCGTCTTTAAAAAAAAAAAAAAAAGAATTTCTGTGCAATAAACAATATTATTGACCGAGTTAATGATAAAAGACTGGAGATATTAGGCCGAGCGCGGTGGCTCAAGCCTGTAATCCCAGCACTTTGGGAGGCCGAGACGGGTGGATCACAAGGTCAAGAGATAGAGACCATCCTTGTCAACATGGTGAAACCCCGTCTCTACTAAATATACAAAAAAATTAGCTGGGCATGGTAGCAGGTGGCTGTAATCCCAGCTACTCAGGGGGCTGAGGCAGGAGAATTGCCTGAACCCAGGAGGCGGAGGTTAAGGTGAGCCGAGATCGCACCATTGCACTCCAGCCTGGGTAACAAGAGCGAAACTCTGTCTCAAAAATAAATAAATAAATAAAAGACTGGAGATACTTACAATGTCTAATATCAAAGAAGGACTAATATCTAAAATATTTAATAAACTATTACAAATCAACATAAAAAATATGGGAAACTCCATACAAAAGTGGACAAAGAAAAATAAATAGGTAATGCATAAAAGAGAAAAACCAAAAGTAAGAAAAAATGTGAGCAGATGCTCAAACATATTAGTAATTAAACTTGCCATGAGATATCTTTTTTTTGTTTGTTTGTTTAAGATGGATTCTCACACTGTTGCCTAAGCTGGAGTGCAATGGCGCGATCTCAGCTCACTGCAACTTCTGCCTCCCAGGTTCAAGCGATTCTCCTTCTGAGTAGCTGGGATTATAGGCGTGCACCACCACGCCCAGCTAATTTTTTGTAATTTAATAGAGACAGGGTACCACCATGTTTGCCGGGATGGTCTCGATCTTATGACCTCGTGATTGCCCGCCTTGGCCTCCCAAATTGCTAGGATTACAGGCATGAACCACCGAGCCCGGGTCAGATCATATAGTTTATGTTAAGTGACACATTCTCTATGGCACTAAGTTTGAGGACATACTTTGTAAATGAAATTATATGCGGAAATACCTGTATATGTTAGTGGTTTGGTTGTTGCTATTATTATTATGACTGCTATACATGTGGTCTGGAGAAAGCCAAGCTCCTCAAAGCACTAATTCCCCAACAGAGAACAGGCCCTCTAGGTTGCATACCAATAGGAAGCATGTTTAAGGAAAGTTAGCCGGTAGCCTGAGGGGTACATTTTTTCTTTATCAACTGTTCTCGAAGACTTCAGGCTTGAAGTTCTGGGGAAAATAATTAGGCTCTCTGGGCGAGATCCCGAATACCAATTTAAGGGATCTGAAAAGCAAGGCCGTGTGAGACTCCACTGCCGCCACGTGTTGGGCACCAGTAGGCGCGGGGCCGATCCGTCCCGGGGCTAGCAGGGCTTTTGGCAGCAACCCTCGGCGAGCCCGACCGTCTCTGGCCAGGTCCGGGCAGCTGATGCGGGAGGTTCCAGGGGTCCATGCCACTAGTGAACGCAGTCTCTAGTGTCCTCTCCGCGTCCCACCCCCTTTCCTGCGCGAGCCTGCACTTGGAAGGCACCTGGGACGGTGTGAGCCTGTCTGGGTCCCCGGAAGAGCGGCGGGAATTGCGGCCGCTCGGACGGCGCCGCCGCCGGGCTCCAGTGTGGAAGGGGAGGCAGCTGTTCTCCCAGGCGGCCGTGGGGGGCAGCAGAGGGGACGGCGACAGGTGCGGGAGCCCCTCCCGGGGTAGAAGTGGAAAGGCGGGCTCCGGGGTCTGTTCCCAGGCTGGAAACCGCCCCCGCCCCCCATCCAAATCCCCGGGAGAGGCCCGGCCGGCGCCGGGTCTGGGGGAGGAAGCGGCCGGAGACAGTGCAATTTCACGCGGCCTCTGTGGCTCGGGTTCCTGGGCTGGATGGATGAGTTATGGGGTTTCGAGTCTGGGAGAAACTGAGGTGGCCCAGACGTGAGGCAAAAAACACCCTCCCCCTCAAAAACACACAGAGAGAAATATTCACATTCAGAGAGAAAATCAACCAAGTGAACCAACCGGCTAGGGTAGTTGAGTGATTTGGTTAATGGGCGAGGCCAACTTTCAGGGGGCAGGGCTTCGGAGCGCTTTCCCCACCCTCAGCCATTACCCTTCCCTGGATCTGGGGGCCTTTTGGAATCTCGACCTCCCCTTGGCCCAGCTCCTGCAGAAAAATTAGGGCGAGCCCCATCCTCGGTCTTCTCCGCCAAGTTGCGGGACCGCGGGGCGTGGCGCGGCGCGCTCGGGGCTGGCGGTCAGAGGCTCCGCAATCCCTACTCCAGCCTCGCGCGGGAGGGGGCGCGGCCGTGACTCACCCCCTTCCCTCTGCGTTCCTCCCTCCTCTCTCTCTCACACACACACACCCCTCCCCTGCCGTCCCGCCCCGGACTCCGGCTCCGGCTCCGATTGCAATTTGTAAACTCCGCTGCCGCCGCCGCAGCCGCCACCAGTGCGCTGGCGGCTCAGGTGGCTCTCGCCTCGATGTCCTAGCCTAGGGACCCCCGGGCCGGACTGGGCTGGGCTCCCTTCACCCTCCGTCGCAGTCATGAGGGCGAACGGCGCTCTGCAGGTGCTGGGCTTGCTTTTCAGCCTGGCCCGGGGCTCAGAGGTGGGCAACTCTCAGGCAGGTAAGCGGCGCGGGAGCACCGGCGGGCTCCGCACCTGGGAGCCCGAACCCAGTGCGCGCAGTCTCGGAGGGCAGGGGCAGGGTCCCAGGCGGCGCGGGGTGTGGGTGCTGCGCCGGGTCCGCCGGGACCACCTGGGAGTGGGGCGGTCGGGCTCGGGTTATCGGCGTGGTCCGGCCGACGGCGGCATTCCTGGAACCTCACGACCCGCTTCCCCAGAGCGTCGCCGACCCTCTAATTGGTCTCCCCAGAAGATGCTGAGGCCGAAACAGTAGTTCACACTTCTAAGGGGCCCTGCAGGGAGCGGAGCGGGGACCTTCATTCTGTAAACAGGAGGTGCTTGGAGGTGGGGACCCTGGCGGAAGGGTCTCGGTTTGCTCTCCAGCCTCCTACCCCCTACCTCGCACCGATTTCAGCCACCCCTAGTTTCGTTGTTTTGTCGACAGGGCGGAGCTACACAAGGTTGGAGGGGGTTGTTATTCTCTGGTGTTGGAAAAACAGGAGCGGCACCTCCTCTTCCGTGAGTGAGCCTGCCCTGGGGAGGTCTGAGATTAACCAGAGGGCCAAGTTCAGGTGACATCAGGCGGGAGGCCCAGCAGAGGCTGGCGCCCGCTTTCCTCAAAATAGTAGAGCAACAACTCTTTGTCAAAACCCAGGTCAACACAACTCATATTTACTGAGCATCTACTATATACAAGGCCCTGGGCCAGGAGCTGTAGGGGCGAGGATGCCCAGCCTCTTGTCTTTTCCCTCCCCAGCCTGAGGATCAAGAGGGCACCTCTGCTGCTTTGTAAGCCTCCCACCTTGGGGAGTCCTTCCTGGGCCCAGCTCGTGTGCCCCCTGTCCCCATTTTGTTTATTGTCTTGACACTGTCTCTAGGACCCTAGACAGACCCCTGGATTGCTCTTCTCTAGTCCTCCCCGACTCCCATGCTATCTGAGCCCACTCCTTCGGGGTGCCTCTGGGTCCCTGGACACCTGAGGACTGAAGTCCTGTGGCGCTCCTCCCCTCCCCCCCCAGATCCCAGCTTAGGGTTTGGCACCGCCAGGGCCCCTTCCCCAGTGTGGGAGTGGAAGGAACCACCTGTGCTTCCCCCACAGTTGCTGGGCCTAAATTTAGAGTCTGGGATTTTGAGATGTGAACACTCCCAGCTGGTGGAGGGGGGTGGTCTGGGGACTGGCGTGGGAGGGAGCAGTGGAGTGACTGTGTAACTGTCCCATCCAGACCCTGCAATCTTCACTCGGAAACCCAGGAGTACTAGATTCTGGCCATCCTCCCTGGGGAGGCAGGAGGCAGGCATGGTTGGGTCTCTTTACCCTTTATCTGGGTCCTGCAGCCTCTGGGCATCCGGCCCTGTCTCAGTGCTTCTATAGCCCCTTTGTCCTGGCTGTGATGGGGGTGGGGGATGTTGGAGGGGAGGCCTCTGCTTGAGGAGGGGCTGGAGATTCTGGCTCTGACCCACCCCCAGTGCTCTCTACCAAAGGAGGGCCTGTGCCCTCCCTATGCTCCCAGTCCCTGGGTACCGCAGGGATTTTTGTGATTCCCTCCTCTGCCCTGCTCCCCAGCCTGCCTGGCTCCTCCCCAGAGATGTTGTTTGTGCTCCCTTATTGCCCAGGCCCTTTGCCCCTGTCTGTGTAACATGGACTTTACCCTTAAGGTAGCAAGGAAACTGTAGCCTTCCAAGCACAGACACAAAATCTGCACCAACACTTATGGGCACGTGGGATAGATAGGGCCACCTGAAGTACTTCCTGCAAGGAAACCCAACTGTAGGTTTCTGGGCCAGGAGGACCAATGTGTACGTGTTCGTGTGTGTTGTGTGCGTATGTGTGTGTTGTGTTCGTGTGTGTGTTGTGTGCGTATGTGTGTGCCCACACTACTACTTCCTTGTGCAGAAAGCTTGGCTCCTCCTTGTCTGGGGAGACGGGTTGGCACCATAACTTGGGAAAGGGGGTGTCCTGCCAGGAAGGGGGTGGGGGTGGGGCTGTCCAGAAATGACTAACCTTCCCAGTCTCTTTCATTTCAACCCAAGGACCAAGGAGTTCCCTGCTCCTCTGGAACTAGCTCTCTTTGGTGGGACTAGCCAACCTTCATGGGGAGTGATAAGGGGGTCAAGAGGTCAGACTAGGGGTGTATGTTATAGGAGGGATTGGGGCCTCACCAGTCTCTCTCCCTCTATTCCCACTGAGCTACCACCGCCTCAGGGAAGGGTGGCTGGAACAGGTGGTATCTACCCCCTACTCCCCACACCACACACATGATCTTCCACTGAACCAGAAGAAAGAGACTGGGGTAGGGCTTCAGAATCCAGGATTGCCCATAGCCCATCGTCCACCACATTTGCAAAGAAGAGTGAACTCCCAAGGCTGACACGCCTCACGTGCCTCTAGTCTAGGCTCTCGCTAAGTGCGGGTGCAGACTGCCTTGGTGAAAGCCTTTTTCATGAATCTCTTCTAACAATGAAATTGGGTGGAGGCTCAGTGTGGGATGTCTGCTACTGTTTCTCTCTAGGCTTCTCTGTATTTGCTGAAAAATACTCTAGGGCTGGAAAGTGATGCCGAGGTTGCTAGAGTGTGTTGGGATAGGGGGAGAGTGAGAAGGAAAGCCTGAGTTTAGGAAAGAGGGGAGGCAACCAGCTCCTTATCTTCCAGTTTTAAAGACAAAGTGCCCATTGACCCCCCCCCCTGCCACGACTGCCAGAGCTCCCCCCTCTAGTGAGGTCACTTGTCTGATCCCAAGGCTTGAGGGTGGAGGGGGGTGCTGCTGAGGACGGGGTGTCTAGGGACAGGGTGGGGCAGCCCCCCTCCTGGATAGAATCGCCTCATTGTGGGCTGGACTGTGGCCCCAGGCACTGCCCCCACCCTCTGCCCCCATCCCACCCTCAGTAGACACAATAGGGGCTGTGTACTAGCCCCAAAGAGATATTTATTCCAGGACCTAGAGAGAAGCAGGATGAGGGACAGAGAAGTGAGTGCCCTGCTTGGAGGGGGAGAGGAGGATAATCAAAGTTGTGGCCCTTTCCTAACTTCTCCTTTCTAGAGAGGGAAACAAATTCCCTGTCTTCTTTCTCAATTAACCCCTTAGTACCCAAAGTCGTACCCAAAAGAGGCACAGAAGGGTCCCAGGTAGAAAAAGGAAATCTTCAAATCTTCACCGTCCTGTTCATGGAGTCGGGAGGGGATTCTGAGAAGAGAAAAGGCTCTCAGGCCACTCCAGCCTCTGTCTGTCGCTTGCGGGAGGGTTGGAGGCAAATGCCCTCTGATCCTGTCTAGTGTAACTGGAAGAGGGCAACCAAGGGGGTGATCTTGGGGGATGGCAGACGGACCGAGAACTTGTGTCCAGCCCTCAGCCACTCTTCCCTCTGCTTTGAACAGTGTGTCCTGGGACTCTGAATGGGCTGAGTGTGACCGGCGATGCTGAGAACCAATACCAGACACTGTACAAGCTCTACGAGAAGTGTGAGGTGGTGATGGGGAACCTCGAGATTGTGCTCACGGGACGCAATGCCGACCTCTCCTTCCTGCAGGTTAGCAGGCCTGCCCTCCTTACTCTGTTGTAACCAAGGATATGTAGGGGGCAGGGGCAGGGGCAGGGGCAGGTGGTGTTCTGTGATAGTGCGAGGTCAGCAGGGACTAGTGCAGAGAGACACCTGAGGACCGAGAGGGTATCTGGGGAGATGGGGAAGGGACCCTCCTGGCATGAGGAGCTTTGAAGAGAAAGCTGCCTGTCTTTACTCCCAGAAGTGACACAGTAGTGTGACACAGTCTACTCCCTACTCCAAAACAGGAATTAGAAAGAGTTAAGGCTGGGTGCAGGGGCTCATGCCTGTAATCTCAGCACTTTGGGAGGCCAAGGAGGGCAGATTACTTGAGGTCAAGAGTTCAAGACCAAGAACTCACCAAGTTGCCCAGGCAACTTGGTGAACCCTGTCTCCACAAAAATATAAAAATTAGCCGGGCATGGTACCACGTACCTGTAGTCCTAGCTACTCAGAGGGCTGAGGTGGTAGGATCGCCTGAGTCCAGGAGTTTGATGCTGCAGTGAGCCAAGATCCTGCCACTCCACTCCAGCCTGGGTGACAGAGTGAGAACCTGCTCACACACACACACACACACAAATAAATAAATAAAAAGGGAGGAAGGAAGACTTAAAAGAGTTAAAGAGCCGGGCGCGGTGGCTCAAGCCTGTAATCCCAGCACTTTGGGAGGCCGACGCGGGTGGATCACGAGGTCAAGAGATCGAGACCATCCTGGTCAACATGGTGAAACCCCGTCTCTACTAAAAATACAAAAAATTAGCTGGGCATGGTGGCACATGCCTGTAATCCCAGCTACTCAGGAGGCTGAGGCAGGAGAATTGCCTGAACCCAGGAGGCGGAGGTTGCGGTGAGCCGAGATCGCGCCATTGCACTCCATCCTGGGTAACAAGAGCGAAACTCCGTCTCAAAAAAAAAAAAAAAAAAAAAAAAAAAAAAGTTTTTAAAGAGTCGTTTACGCCTGAGGGAGGGAGAGGGATTGAGCTTTTTTTGCCCCCTTGTCCCTCTCATTGTATAATCTGCTCTGTAACAGTGGATTCGAGAAGTGACAGGCTATGTCCTCGTGGCCATGAATGAATTCTCTATACTACCATTGTCCAACCTCCGCGTGGTGCGGGGGACCCAGGTCTACGATGGGAAGTTTGCCATCTTCGTCATGTTGAACTACAACACCAATTCCAGCCATGCTCTGCGCCAGCTCCGCTTGACTCAGCTCACCGGTCAGTTCCCCATGGTTCCTTCTGGCCTCACCCCTCAGCCAGCCCAAGACTTGTACTTGCACCTCCTTGATGATGTCCCAAGACTGCTCACTCTAAGTGCCTCTTCCAAGGTGCCCATCACCTTAGCAACTGTGGTCTAAAGGTCCCCAATAGAGGTTAATAGAGGGCCCCCAGTAGGGGGCGCTAGAGTCATGGTGGGGCTGGAGTCAGAGCTGGATCTGCTACCCATTTCTCTAACTTCAAAGTACAGTGTATCAGAGGCTGGGTACAATGGCTCACACTGGTAATCCCAGTACTTTGGGAGGCCAAGAAGGGCAGATCACTTGAGATCAGGAGTTCAAGACCAGCCTGACCAATATGGCAAAACCGTCTCTACTAAAAATACACACACACAAAAAATTAGCTGCGTGTAGTGGTGCACACCTGTAATCCCAGCTGCTTGGGAGGCTGAGGTAGGGGAATCACTTGAACCCGGGAGGCGCAGGTTGCAGTGAGCCAAGATCGAACCGCTGTACTCCAGCCTGGGTGACAGTGAGACTCCATCTCAAAAAAAAAAAAAAAAAAAAAAAAAAAAAAAAAAATCCAAAGTACAGTATACCTGGATGTTCCTCCTTTCCTGGGAATCCTACCTTTACTCTCCTAAACCAAACTCCCATGAGCTGGGGGAGTATAGGGGTTAAATATCACCTGTCCATCTTCTGCTTCTCCCTGTCCCAGTCAGTTGGAAAACATACAGGCAGGGTTTGGGGGATGTTGAGTCAGAGATCTTCTCTCCCTCTCTCCCTTTCCCTCCCCAACTAGCTAAACCGGATCTGGACAGGTGACTGAAGAGGCAGGAGTGTCTTTTGGCCTGACTCCTCCTCTTATAAAGCAAGTCTTCTCTGCAGCTTGGATTTAATTGGATCTATCTGCCTGCGTTGTTCTCCCACTCATGAGTGTCAGGTGTCCTTTTGGATGGGTGGGAAAGTAAGGCAGAGGTGTTCCGCTGCAGCCCTTAACCCTGTCACTTCTTTCCCTACCACAGAGATTCTGTCAGGGGGTGTTTATATTGAGAAGAACGATAAGCTTTGTCACTTGGACACAATTGACTGGAGGGACATCGTGAGGGACCGAGATGCTGAGATAGTAGTGAAGGACAATGGCAGAAGCTGTGAGTGGCCGTGATCAAGACTGCTCCCCCACCCCACCAAACCAGAGTGACTCCCTTCTTCCCATCATCCTAACATTCCTGATCTGAACTCGCCTCCCCATGGAACAAACACCTCAGGTCCCTGACCCAGCAGCCCGCCAGGAAGGACCATGCCAGTCCCCTGGAATCCAAACCACAGCGGAGGTGTTTCAAGAAAAGGAGCAGGCCGAGCGTGGTGGCTCATGCCTGTAAACTCAGCCCTTTGGGAGGCCAAGGTGGGAGGATTGCTTGAACCCAGGAGTCCAAGACCAGCCTGGGTAACATAGCAAGACCCCATCTCTACAAAAAATTTAAAAATCAGACAGATGTGGTGGCTGGCACACACCTGTAGTCCCAACCACCCGGGAGGCTGAGGCAGAGGATTGTTTGAGCCCAGGAGGCTGCAGTTGCAGTGAGCTGTGATTGTGCCATTGTACTCTAGCCTGGGCAACAGAGTGAGACCCTGTCTCAAACAAACAAACAAAAAACCCACAAAGATTCCTGGGTATTAAGCAGGGAAGCCAGATATTTAGACTCCACATCTGTTATTTGTTCCTCTAGAATATGCTCCCCTCTCCTTGGAGCCCACCTTCCCCTGACCATTCACATGCATATATTCAGTTTGCCCAGAAGGAACCAAGTTCCTGGGTTGGGACTGGAGCTAAGGTTGGCATTTGCCCCAGTCCCTCCCCTTCAGCTGCCCAGTGGGTGGTGTGGAGGCGTGGCCCCGCCCCTTGTTGACAGGTTCATTTGAGCCCAGCCCTGCTCTCCAAGAGCAGGGAGGGACACAGCCCTGGCTTTTTGCTTCCCGGGATTGAGGTGCCTGTGTGCTGACATCATACCCTGTTGATTCAAACAAGCCTTTCTTAGCCCTGATGGCCCCTTGTGTTGTCTTCCTTCCCAACCAGGTCCCCCCTGTCATGAGGTTTGCAAGGGGAGATGCTGGGGTCCTGGACCTGAAGACTGCCAGACATGTGGGTTTGAACTTCCCTCCAAAAACTTCACTCAGATGCTTTCATATCCCTTCCTCTCCAAGCCCGGGTCAACACTGGGGGGAGGCATGAGCAGTGGCCTCAGAATTCAGTTCCAGAAGCTCTAACTGCCATGCTTTCTCTCCTTCTGTAGTGACCAAGACCATCTGTGCCCCTCAGTGTAATGGTCACTGCTTTGGGCCCAACCCCAACCAGTGCTGCCATGATGAGTGTGCCGGGGGCTGCTCAGGCCCTCAGGACACAGACTGCTTTGTATGTACTCTTTCCATTGTCTGCCTTCTGAAATTGGGATGTGGCCTTTGGGGAGGAGGTTGGGGTACCTATGTAACAGCAATCTGATGAGCCTGCTTTCTTTCCCAGGCCTGTCGGCACTTCAATGACAGTGGAGCCTGTGTACCTCGATGTCCACAGCCTCTTGTCTACAACAAGCTAACTTTCCAGCTGGAACCCAATCCCCACACCAAGTATCAGTATGGAGGAGTTTGTGTAGCCAGCTGTCCCCGTAAGTGTCTGAGGGGAGGGAACAATCATCAACAATAGTAGATCCAAGATTTTAGACAAAATTTTGGGAGGCAAAAAGAATCTGGTTGGGTGATAAATAGGAAGATTGGTGAATGGTTATGATCATCTAACCAGCCCAGTGAGTGACCCCTACGTCCTGTCCACCCATGACTTCAGCTATCACCCTTACTTCTGCTCCTGGTAGCAACAAAGAGTGAAGAGACTTTCAAATCTATAGGGCAGCACTTAAGGAACCTAGGGTGGCAGATGGAGACAAATCCAGTGCAGAGCAGGAGGGAGCCCAGGCCCAGAGCAAGGGTTCCATTGGTAGCGGGCAGTGTTCATCGCTCCTCTCTGATGGTATCCTCCTCCTTCTCTTCCGTAGATAACTTTGTGGTGGATCAAACATCCTGTGTCAGGGCCTGTCCTCCTGACAAGATGGAAGTAGATAAAAACGGGCTGAAAATATGTGAGCCTTGTGGGGGACTATGTCCCAAAGGTGGGTAGGAGATGGTAAGAAGTTGTGAAGGGACAGCCTTTCCTCTGAGCCTGCGCAGACCCCCCCCTACTGAGCCTTTCTTACATTTGCAGCCTGTGAGGGGACAGGCTCTGGGAGTCGCTTCCAGACTGTGGACTCGAGCAACATCGATGGATTTGTGAACTGCACCAAGATCTTGGGCAACCTGGACTTCCTGATCACCGGCCTCAATGGGTTAGAGATCCTGCCTTCCCTCCCTAGACCCCAGCCCACACACCCCTTACAGTTCACGTCATTGGCCTAAACTTTCCTATGTGGAGCTGACTAGGAATCAAAGTCATAAAATCCTAGTCTATTACAAAGGATCTGAGAGAATGCTGAACACATCCTCCATTGAGGCCTTGGGTCCCCTCAGGGACATCTTTGAGCAATTCAATATCACCTTGCCAAGGAACAAGAGACAGAAACAGTATATCCTCCTTCTTAAAGTTTTCTTCTTCTTTTTTCTTTCTTTTGAGAAAGGGTCTTGCTCTGTCACCTAGGTTGGAGTGCAGTGGCGTGATCTTGGCTCACTGCAGCCTCGACCTCCTGGGCTCAAGTGATCCTCCCACCACAGCCTCCTAAGTAGCTGGGACTATAGGTGCACTCCAACATACTTGACTGATTTTTTTTTTTTTAATTTATTTTTTGTAGAGGCAAGGTCTCGCTATGTTGCCCAGGCTGATCTCTAACTTCAGGGCTCAAGCGATCTTCCTGCCTTGGCCTCCCAAAGTTCTGGGAATCACAGGCATGAGTTACCGAACCTAATCTCATTCTTAAAGTTTTCTAAAAGTTCTTAATTAAATTTGGATAAAAATCTGTCTCCCCATGACTTTTAGCTGTTTTTACTCATTCCGCTCCTTGGAACAATAAAGAACAAAGGGACTTTCTAATCCATAGGACAGCACTTAAAATGTATGTGTGTCTGTGTCTGTGTGTGTGTGTGTGAGAGAGAGAAAGAGAGAGAGAGACAGAGAGAGGTAAAAAAAAAAAAAAAAAACCACGCCGGGGCGCGGTGGCTCAAGCCTGTAATCCCAGCACTTTGGGAGGCCGAGGCGGGTGGATCACGAGGTCGAGAGATCGAGACCATCCTGGTCAACATGGTGAAACCCCGTCTCTACTAAAAGTGCAAAAAATTAGCTGGGCATGGTGGCACATGCCTGTAATCCCAGCTACTCAGGAGGCTGAGATAGGAGAATTGCCTGAACCCAGGAGGCGGAGGTTGCGGTGAGCCGAGATCGCGCCATTGCACTCCAGCCTGGGTAACAAGGGCGAAACTCCGTCTCAAAAAAAAAAAAAAAAAAAAAAATCACTATGACCACCTGTTTTTTTTCCTTTAATTTTTTATTTTTTATTTTTTTTATTTATTTATTTATTTATTTATTTTTTGAGACGGAGTTTCGCTCTTGTTACCCAGGCTGGAGTGCAATGGCGCGATCTCGGCTCACCGCAACCTCCGCCTTCTGGGTTCAGGCAATTCTCCTATCTCAGCCTCCTGAGTAGCTGGGATTACAGGCATGTGCCACCATGCCCAGCTAATTTTTTTGTATCTTTAGTAGAGACGGGGTTTCACCATGTTGACCAGGATGGTCTCGATCTCTCGACCTTGTGATCCACCCGCCTCGGCCTCCCAAAGTGCTGGGATTACAGGCTTGAGCCACCGCGCCCGGCTAATTTTTTATTTTGACGTAATTTTAGATGTACACTGAAGTTGCAAGAATGGTATAAAATTCCCCCTATACTTTTTTTTTTTTTTTTTTTTTTGAGACGGAGTTTCGCCCTTGTTACCCAGGCTGGAGTGCAATGGCGCGATCTCGGCTCACCGCAACCTCCGCCTCCTGGGGTCAGGCAATTCTCCTGCCTCAGCCTCCTGACTATCTGGGATTACAGGCACACGCCACCATGCCCAGCTAGTTTTTTGTATTTTCAGTAGAGACGGGGTTTCACCATGTTGACCAGGATGGTCTTGATCTCTCGACCTCGTGATCCACCCGCCTCGGCCTCCCAAAGTGCTGGGATTACAGGCTTGAGCCACCGCGCCCGGCTTTTTTTTTTTTTTTTTTAATGATAAAGTCTCACTCTGTCGCCCAGGCTGGAGTGCAGTGGTGCAATCTTGGCTCACTGCAACCCTCGCCTCCCAGGTTCAAGCAATTCTCCTGCCTCAGCCTTCTGAGTAGCTGGAATTATAGGCATGTGCCACCACTCCCAGCTAATTTTTGTATTTTTAGTAGAGACAGGGTTTCACCAAGTAGGCCAGGCTGATCTTGAACTCCAGACCTCAAGTGATCTGCCCACCCCAGCTTCCCAAAGTGCTGGAATTACAGGTGTGAGCCACCATGCCTGGCTCTTTTACTCAGATCCCCCAAATGTTAACATACTACATATGCTTTATCACTTCTTTCTGCACACACACACACACACACACACACAAAACATATGCTCTTGTTTTTCTGGACCACTTGAGGATAAATTTTCACACGATTCTTTCTTTCGCTTGTTATATTTTATTGTGTATTCCTTAAAAACAATAATATTTTCTTTTTCTTTATTTCTTTTTTTTTTTTGAGACCGAGTTTTGTGCTTGTTGCCCAGGCTGGAGTGTACTGCGCAATCTCAGCTCACTGTTAACTTTCACCTCCCAGGTTTGAGCAATTCTCCTGCCTCAGCCTCCCGGGTAGCTAGGATTACAGGCATGCTCCACCACGCCTGGCTAATTTTGTATCTTTAGTAGAGACAGGGTCTCTCCATGTTGGTTAAGCTGGTCTCAGACTCCAAACCTCAGGTGATCCATCTGCGTCGGCCTCCCAAAGTGCTGGGATTACAGGCATGAGCCACTGCACCCAGCCAAAGACAATAATATTTTCTTACATAACCATGATATAGTTGTTTGAATCAGAAAATTAACGTTATAATACAAATAATAGCAAAATATTATTGGGTCAGGCACAGTGGCTTACACCCATAATCCCAGGACTTTGGGAGGCCAAGGCGGGTGGATCACAAGGTCAGGAGCTCAAGACCAGCTTGACCAACGTGGTGAAACTCCGTCTCTACTAGAAATTAAAAAATAGCCAAGCATAATGGCTCACACTTACAATCTCAGCTACACAGGAGGCTGAGGCAGGAGAATCACTTGAACTTGGGAGGCAGAGGTTGCAGTGAGCTGAGAGCACACCATTGCATTCCAACAGGCAACAGAGAGAGACTCCACCTTGAAAAAAAAGTATTATCAACCTACACACCTTATTCAGATTTCACTAATTGTCCTGCTAAGGTTTGGGATCAAACATTACATTTGGTTATCGTGCCTCTTCAGTCTCCTTTATAACAGCTCCTCAGGTTTTATTTATCTTTCGTGATATTCTTAATGAGTATAGGTTAGTTAATGGGCAGAATGTTCTTCAGTTAGGATTTGTTTGATGTGTCCTCATGATTAGATTCAAGTTTTTCTAGGGTTTTGGGGATTTTTTTGTTTTTGTTTTTGAGATAAGGTCTGGCTCTATTGCCCAGGCTGGAGTGCAATGGCATGATCTCGGCTCACTGCCACCTCTGCCTCCTGGGCTCAAGCGATCCTCCCACCTCAGCCCCGGGAGTAGCAGGGATTACAGGTGCACACCACCACGTGGGGCTGGGTTTTTGTTGTTGTTGTTTTTTTGTTTTTTGGTTTTTTTTTTTTTGAGACAGAGTTTCGCTTTTGTTACCCAGGCTGGAGTGCAATGGCGCGATCTCGGCTCACCACAACCTCCGCCTCCTGGGTTCAGGCAATTCTCCTGCCTCAGCCTCCTGAGTAGCTGGGATTACAGGTACGCACCACCATGCCCAGCTAATTTTTTGTATTTTTAGTAGAGACGGGGTTTCACCATGTTGACCAGGATGGTCTTGAACTCTTGACCTTGTGATCCACCCGCCTCGGCCTCCCAAAGTGCTGGCATTACAGGCTTGAGCCACCACGCCCGGCCTGGGGCTGGTTTTTTATAGAGACAGGGTTTCACCCTGCTGTCCAGGCTGGTCTCAAACTCATGAGCTCAAGCGATCCTCCCGCCTCAGCCTCCCAAAGTGCTGGGATTACAGGCATGCGCTGCCTCCAGGCTGGAGTTTGATAGGAACACCACAGAGGCTGTGAGCTCAGGGCATCCTATGGAGAATGCACGTGATGTTGATTTGCCCCAGCACTCGCAATAATGTCTCTGGTCATTTAGTTAAGGTGATATCTGTCAGGTTTTTCTACTGTAAAGTTACTGTTTTTTCCATTTGCTATTATTAAATGTCTTGGGATAACTGCCTGAATCAATTATTGTTATGATAGTTGACAAATGATAATTTTCTAATTCCATCATTTCTTCTGCATTTGTTTGTTGGCATTCTAGTGTTAGGAAGAGTCTTTCCAATGGGCACAGTGGCTCATGTCTGTAATCTCAGCACTTTGGGAGCAAGTGGGAAAATTGCTTGAGCCTAGGAGTTCAAGGTTACAGTGAGCTGTGATCACACTATTGCACTCCAGCCTAGGCAACAGAGTGAGACCCTGTCTCTTAAAAAAAAAAAAAAAAGTCTTTCTTTCCTATTTATTTATTTACTCTTATGGATACTTATTTTATTCTAGTCAATGGTTATAATCCTTTACAATCATTATTTATTTTGGTGTTTAGGTGTCCCTGATTTGGCCATTGGGAGCCCCTCCAGGCTGGCTCCTGTGTTCTTTGGGCTGTATCCTTAGTTCTTTGAGTCTTTCCTTGTTTGCACAAGATGCTCTAGGCTCATATTATAGTTCCCCTGTCCCCGCCATTTCTCCAAGGAATGTTTCCTTTTAGTGGAGAATAATATTTAGAAACCAACTTCTGAAGCCCAGGCATGGTGGCTCACGCCTGTAATCCCAGCACTTTGGGAAGCTGAGGTGGGTGGATCACCTGAGGTCGGGAGTTCAAGATCAGCCAGACCAATATGGAGAAACCCCGTCTCTACTAAAAATACAAAATTAGCCGAGCATGGTGGCCCATACCTGTAATCCCAGCTACTCAGGAGGCTGAGAGAAGAGAATCGTTTGAACCTAGGAGGCCAAGGTTGCAGTGAGCTGAGATTGTGCCATTGCACTCCAGCCCAGGCAACAAGAGTGAAACTCTGTATCAAAAAAAAAAGAAAGAAAAGAAAAGAAACCAAATTCTGAGGCTGAGTGTGCTCATTGACACTGGGTTATACCTTACCTTGTTGACTGGTTTCTACTGTTCTCCTCAGAGACCCCTGGCACAAGATACCTGCCCTGGACCCGGAGAAGCTCAATGTCTTCCAGACAGTACAGGAGATCACAGGTGAATGGCAGAGTGTTTGCCCTTTCTAGAATAGGTGAACCACTGGCATAAATTGCACTCTAACTACTTGAGAAAAATCACGTCCCAAGTTACAGGGGAGGAACCAGGAGAACCCAATAAAGAAGAAGGCTCCCTGCCCATATTGCCTCTCTCCAACCCCTCAGGTTACCTGAACATCCAGTCCTGGCCTCCCCACATGCACAACTTCAGTGTTTTTTCCAACTTGACAACCATTGGAGGCAGAAGCCTCTACAAGTGAGTAAAGGGTATGGAGGAAGTGGCATCTCCAGGCAATGAAGCCTGTGTCATAGGCATTCTTGAGTAAAATACAAGCAGTGCCTCAAAACCAAAGGGTTTCAGAGTTTGATGAGGAAAGGGCAAAAGGAGGGGGGCTCCCTCTCAGTGATCTGACTAAGCACTGAGCACATTTCTTTTTTTTTTTTTTTTTTTTTTTGAGACGGAGTTTCGCTCTTGTTACCCAGGCTGGAGTGCAATGGCGCGATCTCGGCTCACTGCAACCTCCGCCTCCTGGGTTCAGGCAATTCTCCTGCCTCAGCCTCCTGAGTAGCTGGGATTACAGGCACGCGCCACCATGGCCAGCTAATGTTTTGTATTTTTAGTAGAGACAGGGTTTCACCATGTTGACCAGGATGGTCTCAATCTCTTGACCTTGTTATCCACCCGCCTTGGCCTCCCAAAGTGCTGGGATTACAGGCGTGAGCCACCGCGCCCGGCCCACATTTCTTGACTAACATGAATCCACTGCATGGTTAATGTTCCCTTAGTAGTCTCTCCTCTCATCCTGTCTCCTTATTCTCAGCCGGGGCTTCTCGTTGCTGATTATGAAGAACTTGAATGTTACATCTCTGGGCTTCCGATCCCTGAAGGAAATCAGTGCTGGGCGTATCTATATAAGTGCCAATCGGCAGCTCTGTTACCACCATTCTTTGAACTGGACCAAGCTGCTTCGGGGGCCCTCGGAAGAGCGACTAGACATCAAGCATAATCGGCCCCGCAGAGAATGCGGTGAGGGAGAGGGTCTGCTGGGTGGTAAGAACAGGAAGTCAGGGAGGAGAGGCTGGAAGGACTCTTCTGCCCACACGTGGGAGTAGGGTTGAGGGATAGAATCAAGGAGAAGGGGGATGTTAGGATGGAAGCAGTAACGAGGAAAAGCAATGAGGAGAGGGCCTGCTGGGAGTCCTCAGACTTCTCTCCTAATCTACCCTTTGTTTTCCAGTGGCAGAGGGCAAAGTGTGTGACCCACTGTGCTCCTCTGGGGGATGCTGGGGCCCGGGCCCTGGTCAGTGCTTGTCCTGTCGAAACTACAGCCGAGAAGGTGTCTGTGTAACCAACTGCAACTTTCTGAATGGGTACAGTGAGGGGAGCCAGTCAAGGATGGGTGGGGGTGAGACCCTGCAATGGAACTGTTCAGATGGCATATAATAAAAGCCTTTAGAAAGCTTTCTGCATATGCCTTGGTGGGAGTGAGATAGGAGACCTGTGGTTGTGGGATCAGGGCATGAAGGTCAGGACTTGGAAGTGACCCCCCTCCCTTTATTCTCCGATGCAGGGAGCCTCGAGAGTTTGCCCATGAGTCCAGATGCTTCTCTTGCCACCCGGAATGCCAGCTCATGGAGGGAACTGTCACATGCAATGGCTCGGTATAGTAGCAGCACCAGGATCTCCAAGGGAGACACAGAAGGGGCAATACTTGGAGCATGTGGGGAATGATATGGCTAAGGAGAGCACAGAAAGAACAGATAATGCTAGGGTCTGCAGATAGAAGATTCTGAATGTCTGGGCTGGTCTTTGCTGGGAGGTATGGAATTGACCTTGGATCTGATTCTTCCTGACCTTCTCTCTTCCACTCAGGGCTCCGATACTTGTGTTCAATGTGCCCATTTTCGAGATGGGCCCCACTGTGTGAGCAGCTGCCCCCATGGAGTCCTAGGTGCCAAGGGGCCCATCTACAAGTACCCAGATGTTCAGAATGAATGTCGGCCCTGCCATGAGAACTGCACCCAGGGGTCAGTGATGGGATGATAGGGAGAGGGGGTCAGGTGGAACAGTAGGAGCACAGAACTAGGGTGAGGGAAGCAGAAAGAAGAGAGTGGCTGTGATTTAAGAATCACTCCCAGCTGCGTACTGAAGGATTGGAGAAAGGGAAAATCAGTAACAGCACAAAATTACACCACAGTTTTGGGAACCTGGAATAAACACAGTTCAAGGGAGTTTTACTCAAGAGGGGCTTGGGGAGAGCTAGTGAGCTGGAGGTGGAGGCCATGTCTTGGGATCAGCTTTGGGCTCCAGGATGGGATGCCATGGTAAGTTCTGAAATAAGCTTTTGTATGTTGAGGCTGTTGAAATTGAGCCTCTGTTGTCCAAGCTCTCATTTAAGGTTGTGACTTTCTTCTCTAGGTGTAAAGGACCAGAGCTTCAAGACTGTCTAGGACAAACACCGGTGTTGATCGGGTATGATGGGTTTGGAGATTCTGGAAACTGGGGATATTTGGGAGTTGGGAGAGAGGTAGTTTCCTGGAGAGAAGAGCGAGGGTGTCTTCATTCTGGCCTTTTATGTACGCGGTCCACTATCGTTAGAACGCAGGCTTCTGGACTTCCCTTCCTAAAGTTAACTTGCAGTATTCTAAGAGTGGTCCTGATTTAGGTTGGTCCCTTCCGTGCTTAAGGATATATATGTGAATGCTAATTTCTTGCCCCAGATATGCACCATACCTTTAGCACAAGTATAGTTGACATTTGTAAGGAAGATGAAAATCCAGAATAATGTTGGGTTTCTATATATCCCATAGCAAAACCCACCTGACAATGGCTCTGACAGTGATAGCAGGATTGGTAATGATTTTTGTGTTCCTGGGTGGCACTTTTCTCTACTGGCGTGGGCGCCGGATTCAGAATAAAAGGGCTATGAGGCGATACTTGGAACGGGGTGAGGTGAGTACTTAGTTTACTTTTGTTTTTTCTTTTCTTTTTTGCATGCCCTGGAAATCTCTTTATAGCTTAATTTTCAGTGGTACCCTGTGTACCCAGTGGTCAGTGATGGGATGAACATCAGTCCCCTCATCTTTCCGCAGAGATTTGATCCCTTTCTTCAAGGAGGTAGTGTGATCCCCTAGAAAAGACACTGGTCAGAGAAATAGGAGGCATGCATTCTAGTCCCGAATTTGCCATTAATTTGCCACATGACTTTGAAGAAGTTACTTCTCTGTGCCTAAGTTTATGCATTTATACGGAAGAAATAACACTCATCCTTCCAGCATGGCTGTAAGGGTAGGGAGAGATGATGTAAAAGTGCTTTGGAAAGCACAGAGCACTGTATAAAAGTAGTGAAGGTGGTAATAGTATTACCAACTCTCCCTAGCTGTCCCTTTACCCCACTTCTTGGTCCCCCGTCAAAGGGAAAACCCAACCCCTTTGATTCCTGATCTCATGAGCACAAATAACTTCCTCAATCTTCAAGGTCTGTTATTCCTCAATATGCCTATAACGCTTTCCAGGACTAACAATGATTTCTCTTCCAGTCCTTTTGGCTCGCTACTTTTGGCATTCACTTCTGGGGAGCGGGTTGGAGTGGGACATGGGAATGGTCTTTCCTGAGTACCTCCTTCCCATTTGCTCCTTAGAGCATAGAGCCTCTGGATCCCAGTGAGAAGGCTAACAAAGTCTTGGCCAGAATCTTCAAAGAGACAGAGTTGAGGAAGCTTAAAGTGCTTGGCTCGGGTGTCTTTGGAACTGTGCACAAAGTGAGTGACCTAAAGGAATTCTGGAGAGGTGGGGAAAGCATTTAGGGCGAACGGTGAAAGATTTTTGCAAAAGACTGACCTAGGGAGAATGACCCTATGCTGACTCCTATCCCAAACTTCCCAGGGAGTGTGGATCCCTGAGGGTGAGTCAATCAAGATTCCAGTCTGCATTAAAGTCATTGAGGACAAGAGTGGACGGCAGAGTTTTCAAGCTGTGACAGATGTAAGTGAAGGGTATTCTGCATGTCGCTAGGAGAGAGGACAATATTAGATATAATCATGTAGAAGCATGGTCCTGTGCTTCTCAGCAGCTACTGTGTTAGCCATGTTGATGCGCTTGAATTTTGGGGGGTACCCTGGGCTGGCTGTGCAGATACTGAGTGTATGTGAACCTGCTGGTTTCCTGGATAACACCTTTTGTGTCTCTTAGCATATGCTGGCCATTGGCAGCCTGGACCATGCCCACATCGTACGGCTGCTGGGACTATGCCCAGGGTCATCTCTGCAGCTTGTCACTCAATACTTGCCTCTGGGTTCTCTGCTGGATCATGTGAGACAACACCGGGAAGCACTGGGGCCACAGCTGCTGCTCAACTGGGGAGTACAAATTGCCAAGGTGAAAGGAGCCTGGAGGATTTCTGTGATAAGAACTGCTTGGCCGGGCACGGTGGCTCACGCCTGTAATCCCAGCACTTTGGGAGGCCGAGGCGGGTGGATCACGAGGTCGAGAGATCGAGACCATCCTGGTCAACATGGTGAAACCCCATCTCTACTAAAAATACAAAAAATTAGCTGGGCATGGTGGCACTTGCCTGTAATCCCAGCTACTTAGGAGGCTGAGGCAGGAGAATTGCTGGAACCCAGGAGGCGGAGGTTGCGGTAAGCCGAGATCGCGCCATTGCACTCCAGCCTGGGTAACAAGAGCGAAACTCCGTCTCAAAAAAAAAAAAAAAAGAAAAGAACTGCTTGGCTGGGGGCAGGCCAGGAAAAAGTGGAAAGGTTGAAGTTCTGAGAGGTAGGGTCCCCAACCCTGGGCTACAGGCTGGTACTGGTCCATGGCCTGTTAAGAACTGGGCCACATAGTAGGTGAGCAGCAGGCGAGTGAGTGAAACTTCATCTGTATTTACAGCCAGTCCCCATCACTTGTATTACCACCTGAGCTCCACCTCCTGTCAGATCAGCGGCAGGATTAGATTCTCATAGGAGCATGAGTGACCTCTATTGTGAACTGTGCATGTGAAAGATCTAGGCTTTGCACTCCTTATGAGACTCTAACTCATGCCTGATAATCTGAGATGGAACGGTTTCATCCCAAAACCAACCCTCCCTTTCCACCAGAAAAACTGTCTTCCACAATACCGGTCCCTGGTGCCAAAAAGTTGGGGACCACTGCTGAGAGATACCTGCAAGATTTGGGGGAATTCCAGATCTCGGTGACTGATTCCCCCAACTTTAAGAATACTTTCTTCCCCTATATCTACAGGGTATGTACTACCTTGAGGAACATGGTATGGTGCATAGAAACCTCGCTGCCCGAAACGTGCTACTCAAGTCGCCCAGTCAGGTTCAGGTGGCAGATTTTGGTGTGGCTGACCTGCTGCCTCCTGATGATAAGCAGCTGCTATACAGTGAGGCCAAGGTGAGGTGACACAAAGGGCTGGGTAAGGTGGTGGGCATGGAATGAAGCATGGGGCTAGGGAGCAGTCAGTGGTCTCTTCCAAAGGCAAACTTACTTCATGGTAAGTTCAAGGAGAGGAGGCTGCAGATGGCCGGATATCTTAGTTCAGAGAGCAACAAAGAAAAGAATGATCAAGAACTTGGGTGGAAAAAACCAACATGGTAACATGAAAGATGCCCAGCAGGAAAAAAAAAAAAGAACTTGGGACTTAGCCGAGCGCGGTGGCTCACACCTATAATCTCAGCACTTTGGGAGGCTGAGGTGGGTGGATCACGAGGTCAGGAGTTCAAGACCAGCCTGACGAACATGGTGAAACCCTGTCTCTACTAAAAATACAAAAATTAGTTGGGCATGGTGGCATGTGCCTGTAATCCCAGCTACTCCAGAGGCTGAGGCAGGAAAATCTCTTGAACCCAGGAGGTGGAAGTGGCAATGAGCTGAGATCGCACCACTGCCACTGCACTCCAGCTTGGGTGACAGAGCAAGACTCCATCTCAAAAAAATAAATAAATAAAGGCTGGTCCGAAGGTAGTGAGTTATCTCAATTGATTGTTTACAGTCAGTTACAGATCGAACTCCTTGTTCTACTCTTTCCCCCCTTCTCACTACTGCACTTGACTAGTCTTTTAAAAAAAAAGAACTTGAGGCCGGGCGTGGTGGCTCAAGCCTGTAATCCCAGCACTTTGGGAGGCCGAGGCGGGTGGATCACGAGGTCAAGAGATCGAGACCAACCTGGTCAACATGGTGAAACCCCATCTCTACTAAAAATACAAACAATTAGCTGGGTATGGTGGCACATGCCTGTAATGCCAGCTACTCAGGAGGCTGAGGCAGGAGAATTGCCTGAACCCAGGAGGCGGAGTTTGCAGTGAGCCGAGATCGCGCCATTGCACTCCAGCCTGGGTAACAAGAGTGAAACTCCGTCTCAAAAAAAAAAAAAAAAGAACTTGAGACTTGGAAATGCTAAGAAAATTTGTGGAAATAAACTGGTGATACCTCTATCTTTAATCCACAGACTCCAATTAAGTGGATGGCCCTTGAAAGTATCCACTTTGGAAAATACACACACCAGAGTGACGTCTGGAGCTATGGTCAGTGCATCTGGATGCCCTCTCTACCATCACTGGCCCCAATTTCAAAGTTACCTTTTGAGACCCTCTCTTAGAATCTTAGAATTTCTAAGCACTTCAGATTTTTGAGTCAGATCAGGTTCTGCTTTCCCTTCACTTCATGCCTATGTCGACTATTTTGCCAGTGACTACTCCATTTCTTCCTGCACCAGGTGTGACAGTTTGGGAGTTGATGAGCTTCGGGGCAGAGCCCTATGCCGGGCTGCGATTGGCTGAAGTACCAGACCTGCTAGAGAAGGGGGAGCGGTTGGCACAGCCCCAGATCTGCACAATCGATGTCTACATGGTGATGGTCAAGTGTGAGTTACCGGCTAAGCCCAGACATTTTCTTTTTTTTGAGACGATATCTAGCTCTTGTCGCCCAGGCTGGAGTGCAATGGCACAATCTCGGCTCACTACAACCTCCACCTCCTGGGTTCAAGTGATTCTCTTGCGTTAGCCTCTGGTGTAGCTGGCATTACAGGCACCTGCCACCATCACCATGCCCGGCTAATTTATGTATTTTTATTAGAGACGGGGTTTTGCCATGTTGGCCAGGCTGGTCTCAAACTCCTGACCTCATGATCTTACTGCCTCGGCCTTCCAAATGCTGGTATTACAGGTATAAGCCACCGTGCCTGGCCTGACACCAGCTATTTTCCGACTTCCCTCTGTACTCTTCTTATGGCTCTATTCTCTTTTTTTTTTCTTTTTGAGATGGAGTCTCGCTCTGTCACCCATATTGGAGTGCAGAGGCATGACCTTGGCTCACTGCGGCCCCTGCTTTCTAGGTTTAAGCGATTCTCCTTTCGCAGCCTCCCAAATAGCAGGGACTACAGGCGTGCACCACCTTGCTAATTTTTTTTATATTTTTAGTAGAGCCAGGATTTCACTATGTCAGGCTGTAAACTCCCAACCTCAGGTGATCCACTCGCCTTGGTCTCCTAAAATGCTGGGATTACAGGTGTGAGCCACTGCACCTGGCCATGGCTGTATCTCCTTTCATGTCTCTACCTCCTACATCTTACCTCCAGGTTGGATGATTGATGAGAACATTCGCCCAACCTTTAAAGAATTAGCCAATGAGTTCACCAGGATGGCCCGAGACCCACCACGGTATCTGGTCATAAAGGTGAGTAGGGAGTAGGAGGTGCTAAGGAAATTTTAAAAAGGGGGAGTTGGCTGGAACCAGGATTTCCCCTAACAATCACCTATCAATGTAGAGAGGGAGTGGGCCTGGAATAGACCCTGGGGCAGAGCACCACGGTCTGACGAACAAGGAGCTAGAAGAAGTAGAGCTGGAGCCAGAACTAGACCTAGATCCAGACTTGGAAGCAGAGGAGGACAACCTGACAACCACCACACTGGGCTCCGTCCTCAGCCTACCAGTTGGAACACTTACTCGGCAACGTGGGGTAAGACAACTTCTAATTACCCAACACTTTGCACCCTGAGCCCTCACGAACCCTACAGAGACCCAGATTAACTACTCAAAGTCCCCCATGTTGAATGTAGATTTCTCCCTTCACCTTAACCTTGTCCTTATTTTTTCATCCTAGAGCCAGAGCCTTTTAAGTCCATCATCTGGATATATGCCCATGAACCAGGGTAATCTCGGGGAGGCTTGCCAGGTAAGGTTGGTAGCTGAGAGGCTGGGTTTTAGGATCAGATTGAGAGTAGTATGGAAGACATTAGAAACCTTTGAGGTTTAATCAGTGTCCTGAAAAAAAGAAGGCAGTGAGGGCCAAGCATAGTGGCTCATGTCTGTAATGCCAGTACTTTGGGAGGCCAGGGTGGATGGATCACCTGAGGTTAGGAGTTCGAGACCAGCCTGGCAATATGGTGAAACCCTGTCTTTACCCAAAATACAAAAATTAGACAGGCATGGTGGTGCACACCTGTAATCTCGGCTACTCAGAAGACTGAGACAGGAGAATTGCTTGAACTGGGAGGCAGAGGTTGCAGTGAGCTGAGATTTTACTACTGCACACCAGCCTGGGCGACAGAGACTCCGTCTCAAAAAACAAAAAGGCTGGGCACAGTGGCTCACGCCTATAATCCTAGCACTTTGGGAGTCCGAAGCAGAAAGATCACAAAGTCAGAAGTTTGAGGCCAGCCTGGCCAACATGGCGAAACACCATTTCTACTAAAAACACAAAAATTAACTGGGCATGGTGGTGGGTGCCTGTAATCCCAGCTACTCGGGAGGCTGAGGCAGGAGAATTGCTTGAACCTGGGAGGCTGCAGTGCACTGAGTTTGTGCCACTGTACTCCAGCCTGGGCAACAAGAGCAAGACTTCATCTCAAAAAAAAAAAAAAAAAAAAAAAAAAAAAAAAAAAAAAAAAGGCAGTGAACAACCCAATCTCCTTCTAAACAAATGTCACTTCTTTCTTCATCTGTGTAAATCTCCTTGCATTATTTTTGGTTTATTTTCTTCCTTAGGAGTCTGCAGTTTCTCAGGGCAGTGAATGGTGCCCCCGTCCAGTCTCTCTGCACCCAATACCACGGGGACGCCTGGTATCAGAGTCATCAGAGGGCCATGTAACAGGCTCTGAGGTTGAGCTCCAGGAGAAAGTGTCAACGTGTAGGAGCCGGAGCCGGAGCCGGAGCCCACGGCCACGTGGAGACAGTGCCTACCATTCCCAGCGCCACAGTCTGCTTACTCCTGTCACCCCTCTCTCCCCACCAGGGTTAGAGGAAGAGGATGTCAATGGTTATGTCATGCCAGATACACACCTCAAAGGTGCCTGCCTCTTCCTAGGGCTTTCCTCAATTCTTCCTCAAATTCTTCCCCCAGGCTCCTCTAAATTATTTTGTCTTCTCCGATCGTATGCCTCTATATCCTATTCATTTTTTCAAACTTTCCCTTACCCCTGTGAAGTTCTTCACATACCTAGTCTTTCTTCTCTACCCTCAGGTACTCCCTCCTCCCGGGAAGGCACCCTTTCTTCAGTGGGTCTCAGTTCTGTCCTGGGTACTGAAGAAGATGATGAAGATGAGGAGTATGAATACATGAACCGGAGGAGAAGGCACAGTCCACCTCATCCCCCTAGGCCAAGTTCCCTTGAGGAGTTGGGTTATGAGTACATGGATGTGGGGTCAGACCTCAGTGCCTCTCTGGGCAGCACACAGAGTTGCCCACTCCACCCTGTACCAATCATGCCCACTGCTGGCACAACTCCAGATGAAGATTATGAATATATGAATCGGCAACGAGGTGGAGGTGGTCCTGGGGGTGATTATGCAGCCATGGGGGCCTGCCCAGCATCTGAGCAAGGGTATGAAGAGATGAGAGCTTTTCAGGGGCCTGGACATCAGGCCCCCCACATCCATTATGCCCGCCTAAAAACTCTACGTAGCTTAGAGGCTACAGACTCTGCCTTTGATAACCCTGACTACTGGCATAGCAGGCTTTTCCCCAAGGCTAATGCCCAGAGAACATAACCCCTGCTCCCTGTGGCACTCAGGGAGCATTTAATGGCAGCTAGTGCCTTTAGAGGGTACTCTCTTCTCCCTATTCCCTCTCTCTCCCAGGTCTCAGCCCCATTTCCCCAGTCCCAGACAATTCCATTCAACCTTTGGAGGCTTTTAAACATTTGACACAAAATTCTTACGGTATATAGCAAGATGTGCACTTTCTTCTCTTTCCTAACCCCAGGAAAGGAGAAGGTTTTCCTTGTTTTGTATGCTTTCTCAATCCCATTCCTCAGCTTCCTCACAGGTATTTCTGGAGATATGAAGGATTACTCTCCATATCCCTTCCTCTCAGGCTCTGACTACTTGGAACTAGGCTCCTAGGTGTGCCTTTGTTTCCCATCAGACTGTCAGGAAGAGGAAAGGGAGGAAACCTAGCAGAGAAAAGTATAATTTTGGTTTATGACTCTTAACCCCCTAGAAAGACAGAAGGTTAAAATCTGTGAAGATAAAGGTTAGGAGTAGATATTGATTACTTTGATAATTCAGCACTTAACTATGAGCCAGGCATCATACTAAACTTTACCTACATTATCTCACTAAGTCCTTTATCATCCTTACAACAATTCTGTGACATACATATTAACTCATTTTACAAAAAAGGGAAGCCAGGCATGGTGGCTCATACCTATAATCCCAGCATTTTGGGAGGCTGAGAATGGGAAGATCACTTGAGCCCAGGATTAGACAAGCCTAGGGAACACAGCAAGACACTGTCTCTAAGGGTGGTGGGGGAGGGGGGGGGGAAGGAAACTGAGCCTAAAAGAGATTAATTAAGCAGTAGGTCCAGAATGCAAAATCCTCCCAATTCTTGTGCATGTGCTCTTACTGTAAGGTGCCAAGGAAAACCGATTTAAGTCACAGCCCTTGTAAGGGGCAACGTTTCTTGTTTGCACTGAATCAAGTCTAACCCCAACAGCCACATCCTCCTCCTATACGCAGACATCTCATCTCAGGAAGTGGTGGTGGGGGTAGTCAGAAGGAAAAATAACTGGACATCTTTGTGTAAACCATAACCCACATGTGCCGTGAATGATCTTTACACCTTATCTGAGGACAGATTCACAAGGATCCCCCAAGATCCACTTTTAGGAGCCATTCTTATCCAGCAGTGACAAGCTTCCAGGTAGGATAGAAGACCCAGTTTCACGCCTCTGTTCCGTTCCTTTGGATGGGGAACTGAGGGAAAATATCTGTTGTATCACTGAAATTTTTTGTTTTGTTTTTATACGTGTCTGAATAAAAATGCCAAAGTTTTTTTCAGCTTCCTGTCTGTCAAATGAAGACATTTCATATGTTAGATAGATCTGCTCCTCAGCAGTGGACAGTCACCTTTCTGTCTTCTGACAATGCTACTCTGTCCCATGCAGCTTTCTCTAGTCCTATTATTGTATTTCTTTAGAACAAGCATAGCGTATAGTCCTTTGGGGTTTTAGTAGGAATCTACAAGGCAAACAACTGAGAATAACAAAAACAAAGAACCCACGTGCTTGGGGACTTATAAAAAGCCCTATACATGTCCGGTCTCCTTCAGAGGCCAAATACTGAAACCTCCCCATGCTTCTGAATTCATTCTTAGAAAAGTCACCAAATATATATACATTTTTTTCACGGTAAGCGCTCTCAACAAACAGCTGTCTTTCTGAACACTTCCCTTAAGTGCTCCATCCAGCCTGTTACTGGAACAATGTCATGTTACTTCTTTAGGAGTCCAGCCTCCAGACTGGGAGGCCTTTAAATGGATGATCCCTCCGGAGTCTGGCCACCCAGTTAGCCCCTGCTCCCAGCACCCTAGGTCTTCTTCCACCTGTCTGCCTCTCCCTGTTCTCTCAGCTTCGCAGGGCCACTGGACCGGCTGGGCGGGTTTCGCCAGCCGATCCAGGGATCCAAGGAAGGGCGCACCCCGCCTCCCCGCCCTAGGTGTAGACACTACCCACCCACCGCGGCTCCACCCTTGCCCCGCCGCCTCTAATCCTATTTCCTCGCCGTAGCTCCGCCCCTTTCCTTCAGCCCGCCCCTCTCTGTTACGGGCTCTCGCTCAGAGTTCTTGGTGGAAGAGGTTTTTCTGGGAGAGACCACGCTTCCCCGCAAGCTCCCCAACGGCTCCGCCTTCCCGCCGGAGCCTGACCCTTCCCAGCGTGCCCGGCAATTCCGGCGTGCGAGGCCCTCGGAGGGCAAGGCCCCTGGGCCTGGCTTAGGAGGGCGAGAGGCAGGCTGGGAATTGTAGTTCTCAAGCCCCTGAGGGCGGCTAGAGGCTGGCGGTGAAGAGGACTAGTTGTCCCAGCGTCCCCTGCGCCTCAGCCCGCGCGCTCGCAGCTTCTCGCTCTCGCCAGCCTGCCCGCTCCCTTGCTTGCTCGCGCTTTCGCTCGCCCTCTCCTCGAGGACCTAGGAGACTCTGACCACAGCCTGCGGCTGGGAAGGGGGACAGAGGCGGCGGCTCAGGGGAAACCAGGCTGCAGTGGTGGTGGTAGGAAGATGTCGGGCGAGGACGAGCAGCAGGAGCAAACTATCGCCGAGGACCTGGTCGTGACCAAGTATAAGATGGGGGGCGACATCGCCAACCGTGAGTGCGGCCTCGGGTCGGGGAATCAAGGCTGACAGGGAAAGGTGCCAGGCTGGCCCCAAAGGGGCTGGAGCGGAGGGGTCATGCGGAGTGAGCTACTGAGGGGTCCGCACCGGTCCTCTGGGGGCGGCGTGGTGGAAAGACCCGGTGTCGCGCCTGGGACCTGAGTGGCCAGGCCCAGGCTGAAGTCTGTGGAGGTGCGGGCCGGCGACTGGGATGAGCGCAGAGTGGGACCCCTGGCAGGCTCCGACCCGAGGCTGTTTGTTAGGAGGCAAGACAGGTTTTCTTCTGTTCCAATCCTTCAGTCCCGATTTCTGCTTCCTCTGATTCTGGCAGCGGCGAGGCCACCTCGAAAAGGAAGCACCCAGCTATTGGCGACAAAGCGCCCCTCTGTTTTGTCGATTCTCTGGGGCGTCAGGAGCCGAGCCGGCACGTGTTGCTGGGTCCCCTTGCGGATGGCTGGCCCCCTTCCTCCACTACTGTCCCTGACACCAGCTTCCCTGCCACGTGCTTTGCTGGAGCCTTTCCTTCTTTACTTCAGTTCTTACCCTGGTGGGGGCCCCCTTCTACATTTGGGCCAGCTAAGGGGACCGTTGGAGAGCTCTCCGGGAGCTTCTAACCCAAGTCTTGGAGATACATATGGCTTTTCTTGAAGTTACTCATTACTACCACCTTTCCAATCTGTGCAGGTAGCCTTAGTTAGCATTCACATTTGTTGTTCTCAGTGACTTGACAACTCGAATGTTTTGGAGTCCTCGTCTTATTCCAACTAGGAAAGCTTGCGAACAGTAATGGAAAAGGGAGGACTGATTTTGGGATTGTCACAAGTCATCCTTATTCGAGCTGTGCTCCGACGGTCTCAGCAGTAGCCTGTCACTCTAGGCAGATGCAACTTTCTCTTTTCTCTCTTTCCAATTCACCTTTCCGTTTTATTTAAAACTCAGGGAGGTACAAACTGCTTGTCCGTGGGCTTTTAAATGTTTTTTGGGGTTTGTGTGTGTGTGTGGTTTTTTCGTTTTTGTTGTTGTTGTTGTTTTTGAGACAGAGTTTCACTCTTTTTGCCCAGGCTGGAGTGCAGTGGCTCAATCTTGGCTCACTGCAACCTCCGCCTCCTGGGTTCCAGCGATTCTCCTGCCTCAGCGTCACGAGTAGCTGGGATTACTGGTGCATTCCCCTATGCCTAACTAGTTTTTTGTATTTTCAGTAGAGACCGGGTTTCACCATGTTGGCCAGGCCGGTCTTGAACTCCTGACCTCAGGTGATCGCCCACCTTGGCCTCCCAAAGTGCTGGGATTGCAGGTGTGAGCCAATGCGCCCAGCTTTTAAATGGTTTTAACAGCAAAGATGGTGGGAAAGCGGTGTTTAGGATGCCTCCGGTCCTGTGGGTGAAAAGCTGAGTTTTTACTAGCTTTCAAAGAATCACCAAAACTGAGATTTCAAAAATCTAACCTGTACTATGGTTTTTGGTGCCGGTTAGTATTTGAGATAGTAGTTTGAATCAGAAAATCTCTTTCTTTCTTTCTTTTTTTTTTTTTTTTTTGAGACAGAGTTTCTCCCTTGTTACCCAGGCTGGAGTGCAATGGCGCGATCTCGGCTCACCGCAACCTCCGCCTCCTGGTCTCAGGCAATTCTCCTGCCTCAGCCTCCTAAGTAGCTGGGATTACAGGCATGCGCCACCACGCCCAGCTAGTTTTATTGTATTTTTAGTAGAGACGGGGTTTCACCATGTTGACCAGGATGGTCTCGATCTTTCGACCTCGTGATCCACCCGCCTCGGCCTCCCAAAGTGCTGGGATTACAGGCTTGAGCCACCGCGCCCGGCCCAGAAAATCTCTTTCTTGCAGTTTATAACTTCAGGCCATTGTGATCTCAGATACAAATTTTCTAACTTTGGCCTCACATCTCTTTGAGATAAGCCATGATCCCCCGAAATGAAACCCAGGGACCTTAGGTTAAGCCCCTTTGGCTTATACACTTGTTTTTTTTTTGTTGTTTTTGTTTGTTTGTTTGTTTGTTTTTCCGAGACGGAGTTTCGCGCTTGTTACCCAGGCTGGAGTGCAATGGCGCGATCTCGGCTCACTGCAACCTCTGCCTCCTGGGTTCAGGCAATTCCCCTGCCTCAGCCTCCTAAGTAGCTGGGATTACAGGCATGTGCCACCATGCCCAGCTAATTTTTTTGTATTTTTAGTGGAGACAGGGTTTCACCATGTTGACCAGGATGGTCTCGATCTCTCGACCTCGTGATCCACCCGCCTTGGCCTCCCAAAGTGCTGGGATTACAGGCTTGAGCCACCGCGCCCGGCCTATACACTTGTTTATGAGGCAGTAAGTCTACATAGATTGAGATTCCTAGCACCTAATTAGAATGTCTGAGAAAGGAAGGCAGTAACATTTAATAATGCATCAGCTTCGAGTCTGCAATTCTGTCTACCTTCTTGTAACATGTCCCTGATGCCTATAAATTTCAGCTTTCCTTGTGCATATGTGGGCATACCTTGGCAAGAACCCTCTAAAGTTCATAACTCTGTCCTGTCACACCAAAGGTAGCATCTTTGGAAAGTCCAAGGCCTTGCCTAGGCCGATGGATTGTATATACCCACTTGTCACATAATAAGGAAGGGAAGGTAATGTTGTCCTTTCAGCCTCAGGGCAATTAGTACTAGAGAGTATTACAAACTCTTAAGTCCAATTTCCAGGTATTCCTTGGGTGGTAACTAGACAATAAATACATACAAGGCTGACAAGATGGGATTCTGTCTTCAGGGGTACTTCGGTCCTTGGTGGAAGCATCTAGCTCAGGTGTGTCGGTACTGAGCCTGTGTGAGAAAGGCGATGCCATGATTATGGAAGAAACAGGGAAAATCTTCAAGAAAGAAAAGGAAATGAAGAAAGGTAAAAAAAAAAAAAAAAAAAAAAAAAAAATCCCTCACTAATTTCCCATTTGACCCTTATTTGGTTCTATATGTTTTATTTTTTTTATTGTAATTAATGATGCAGTCTCCACTCCAGCTCTGGTTGAGATATTTGGAAATTTGGAATGGCAAGTGGGATACAAGCAGTTTTCTTCCCAATCCAAACTGATGAAACTTAAGCAAGTCCCTGAAAACATCCTTACACTTTTCTGAAGGGCAACAGGGCTCCCAGGAGACAGCAAGGCAGTAGGCTGATGATTCTTTCTTTACAGGTATTGCTTTTCCCACCAGCATTTCGGTAAATAATTGTGTATGTCACTTCTCCCCTTTGAAGAGCGACCAGGATTATATTCTCAAGGAAGGTGACTTGGTAAAAATGTAAGGTCAAACTGTTTTTTGTGTTTTTTTTTTTTTGGCGGGTTGTCCTGAGGGGCTGCCCCCAGCCTGAGGGTGGGGCCAGTGGGGCAAGTCGGTCAAACTGTTTTAAAGCATTTTTCTTTTTTTAAAACATTTACAAAGTGCTAGTTCCTAATGTAGTACTCTGATCTTGCCTTTCAGTGACCTTGGGGTCCATGTGGATGGCTTCATCGCTAATGTAGCTCATACTTTTGTGGTTGATGTAGCTCAGGTAGGTGGCCTGCTTTTGATCTCCGTTCAGCCTTGGGAGTGAGGGGAATGCACTGCCAGTTGCTTCTTATCCCCACCCCCAATCACCACGTCAGTTGAGAGAGTCTCTAGAGAAGCAAAAGGAGAAGGAGAAAGGTGTTTTTTTTTTTTGTTTTTTTTTTTT